GAACACCAACACCACGTCCCCCGCCGACTCCTCCGAGCTGCTCATCGAGGTGAACGGGAAGAGGCACAGTCCGGACAGGTGAAAGCAGCTTTTGTCACTTGGCCAAGTTCTTGAAGCTGTGAATTTTGTTTCAACTTTGCCGCTGTCAAAGCTTCAGGCAGTATCCGGGGCTCAGCTGTAGGATCTCACCACTCCCAACTATTCTGGGACTGGGAATTCAGGCTGGGATCCTCTTTCAGGCAGGTTCCATCCCAGAGGGACGTGTTGGGTAGCACAGGAGAGCTGAGTGATTCGCTGTCTCCACAGGCAGCAAGCAGAGGCACGGTCAGCGCAGGGAAGGACGGGGTTCATTTTTCACCACGTTTTATTCGAAGTTAAAAGTTGTTAGACAATTGTGTGGAGCATGCCTCAGATTTATAAAAACTGTGACATTTTCATTTGGTCATGCTCAGAAAGATGAATCGCAACGCTTGGGCACCTTCAGCTCTTTCTTTGACAGGGTCACTTTGTGGATCAGTTCACAAGTTGAGCGTGCTTGGTTTGGCTCCCTGCCTTTACCCCCCAGTAAAATCATTGCTGCCCAAACTCTGCTGACTCAAAATCTGCATCTTTCGCTTTCCGAGTACGTTTGCGCGATGCTAACGAGTACCTCTCTGTGCCGGTGCGGTTGCAGAAGGGAAGACAGCAGCTTTGAGAGGGAGACGCTGCCGACGGAGCCTCCGGCCAAGAGGGTGTGCACCATCAGCCCCGCGCCCCGGCACAGCCCGGCCCTCACCATCCCGCTGATGAACCCCGGGGGGCAGTTCCACCCCACCCCGCCGCCCCTCCAGCACTACACCTTGGAAGACATCGCCACCTCCCACCTCTACAGGGACCCCAGCAAGATGCTGGAGCACAGAGAGATTCGGGACCGGCACAGCGGGCTTGGTGAGAAAGCGTGGGGAGCTTTTAGTCGTAGGAGCTGTGAGGCCCAGCCGCTGAGCTTCGTCATGGGTCCTTGCTTGGCCACTTGCACCCAAAGCTGTGTAACGCTGGGCACGTCCTCAGCGGAGTTTTTGCAGGGAGTTTAGAGAAAACAACTGACCAAGGAAGGTTAAAGATGGGAAGATTGAGAGTTTGTGTTTCCCTATCTCCATGTAAAGGCAGGAGCCACTGAGGATGAGGAGGAAGGACCTGACGTGCGAGTTGAGCATAGCCAGTGGAGGGCAGAGAAATAGAAATTAACTTGTCCAAGGTCACTGAAGCAGGAAAGCAGAGCCTGCCCCCCAGCCCCGTTCCTCCCCGGGGGGTGTGGGAGGTGCACACCATGTTTCCAGCAGGGCAGCCTGGATCACAAGCTCTGGGCTCCTGCGAGTTTACAAGAAGGGAGCCCGCTCCCCAGGCAGGTCGGATCCAGACCCGTGAGGGGATGGTAGCACTTCCAGGGCAGTGACACAGACCAGGGTAAAAGCACTGGCGTGGAATTGCCCCCTGTAGAGCCTCCTGCTTGAGGTGTGGTTTAAAATCCCAGCTGTATGTGGCTGGAAATACAGCTCTTTGTTACTGCTTTGGGGCCACCTTCCTGCTCCAGCGCGGACAGCACTCGGTCCGTCTCATCGCTCGTCTGGCTGTGGTTTGTTGCAGGTTTGAACGGGGGATACCAGGACGAGCTGGTGGACCACCGCTTGACGGAGAGAGAGTGGGCTGACGAGTGGAAGCATCTCGATCACGTAAGGAACGGTGGGAGGTGTGGGAAGTGCTGCAGGACGTGGCAGCCCAGAGCTTCAGCTGCTCCAGTTCATGATTTTCCTGCTGTTGATGCAACGTCTGGGCTTTGCTGGTGGCTTGTAGAGGAGCAAGCCACCACGGGAAGGTGGATGGTGGGGGGG